ACAACTATAATGTCTTATTTTTGTTCGAAGATTAGCTGTTTTTCACTGCAACTTTCTCATAGATATCATTTAGACTTTGATCTTATCGTAGATTATCCGCTTGATACGTCCTGAAACGTAAGCACATAAGTTTTTATTGCTTAAATTAAAGGGTATGGGAATCACAATACTCGGAACCCAGACGTGCAGTGAAGGTGAAGGTCCTGGCTTTTTGACCTTGTTAGCGAACAAAACAGAGGATAATCAAAAGGGCAAGTGGTGGGAAAACTAAAATGAGATTCCATCAGCGATTGGCTAGACCCGCAGGCGAGTGAACGAACTATTCTATGGTCCTTTCATCGGGTCGAAGCAAAGGCGTGCAAATTGAGGCCCTACTGAGTAATTATTTACAACAGAAGTAATGCAGATATTTTGCTTACTAAACGATTCTTCGTTTAAAAGATCCGAGGCACAAACGGATATTAAATCAGCCCAATTTTAGCCTGACAGTGAGATCAACTTAATAAAAGGTTTAAAACAGGCGTTCAGCAACTAGGCTATCCAAAATCAAATCATCGAATGGGTTGAGTGGCAAAAATAGCTACCAGAATATACCATGACTGGTGGTCAAATGACAGCATGTAGGTGATTACAAACGATCGACAGAAATGGCATGCGATTTAGTATAGAGACATGATTGTGAATATTATTGGCTCCGCAAGCCCGTGGTAAGCCGTAATAACTTGGCCTATTAGACAGTATATTTTGTTTGGCGTTTAATGGGTAATGAATATGTATTGATATTCATATAAACTACCGTAGTCAAGAAACGGTTACTGACTATGCTTAAACCTTTCTCTGGTAATTAAATTACTTACATACTCTTCATAATAATGTCTAAAGTTGCTATTCGGAATTCAATGATAATCGATCTTGGAGTAAATAGACAGAAATTCTGAATTTGATCGAAAAATGCGATTACTTGGCGTTTCAATAAGAACGATCTAAGATAAAGTGGAATATCTACCTAAGTACAGATGAAAGAAAGTTGTAATGTTGCTCAGTATAACAAGATATAAATAGGTAAATATATACACATAAAGATAGAGTTTAACCAGTTTTCATGTACACTAGTAAGCGTCATAAAATAGATCAATTGTGAACATACATGTCCTCTGGCTCCTTAACGTTTGGTAAAGCCAGCTTTGCCAGGCGGGCAAAGTCCATTTCCTCCTTGACTGGCCAAGATTCCTGAATCTTCACAGAAGCTTGACGACCACTTCCCCCAGACCCTGATTGTCCCATTCCTTGACCACCCCGACCACCTTGGCCAGAAAAGCCACTACGAAAGCCTCCTAGATTATGATTAGCGAAAATCGATACAAAATATTTACCAGAGTGCAATGTAATGTCAAAATCATGAGTTATAAAATTATACATTCTTAAATTCTTTATATCTAATATTATTTTTTATAAAATGTATATATACCGAATATCAAATGATAAGAAAAGCGAGTGAAGGCAAAAAGTCAGCCTGGAATAGAGCCGCATAAACCTAATCTGAGGTCAAAATAAGGATCCGATATAAAAAATGTATTTGAAAAAGAAGAGTCAGCCACTAAAATAAGCTAATACAATGTATGCTATTGATCAACAGTTTAAGAATGCAAATAAAAATGAATATTGACTAGATGAATTTTGACTAGGCATAAGGAAAATGCGGCAGACATTCGAGTAAAATATCAATAAAAATAGCTGATATTTAAAAAACTTGATCTAAGGGATATCAGCATAATACGACCAACCTTGAAATGAAATCCTGGAGCCAGGCCCCCTGTTTGTGTTCCACGCACCAGAGGATGTCCATCGCTTACCGCCGCCACCAGCCTGAGACATCATAAAGTGACGTTCTCTTTCGGTCATATTTCGGGCTCCACCAGGCCCCATCTTACGCCCTCCCTGCATAGAGGCCATAGAAGAACCGGGACCAATGGGACCTCCGCGACGATTTCGCTATTTAGGTTGAAAATATTATTACATCCATAAGATAAAGCAATACAGTTTCAACAACAGGCATGCACTCCATGAAATCCCGTATGCAAATAGCATGAGGTATATCTTGTAGATGCATGAAGTCGAGTTACAGAAAAAACGTATGTATTAGTATTAAAATTAAATAACAAGTTAATATTTGCTATTTATATACTATATACAGCATACAAGACTTACCATCGGAATCCGAAACCTATGCCGCATCATGTTAGAGCGATTATCTTTACCTGAGCCCACTAATTGGAAATTATTATCATCTTCATTATGGTAATATGAATATTGAGCTCCACCGAATTGAGATATATACCGGTCTAGTGAAAGTATCAAGCCTACAAGGACGCGCTTACTTTTAGATTTTAGATCTGCATACACACTGCCAGACCAGTCAGCGATCTACGTAAATATAAAATAAGATAAGTGCACCTTGCCCAATCTCGCATCCTTGGCAAAGGGCTGGTAGGGCATATCTTTGAATTCCTCCGGTATATCTGAAGGTCCCCATGAATTGTAACTAGGGGTGACCTTAAGCAAATCGAATTCAGGTAAAATAGCATCCTTGGTCATGTTCACAAAAACTGCACGTTGAGCACGTTTAAATAAACCAGAAACCCAGTAAAATGCTTACCCAAAATACTTTATTGCGATTATTGCTAAATTGGTCAGCATTTATATTTATGTAATTATTTTTCATACTATCACTTTTGATTGCACTTAAATAAATTATTATAAGCAAGAAAGTAAAATCCTATAAAGATGTAAG